CGTTCGTTGTCGAAAGCCCAGTTTGAGTCGATTGGGAACGGGGGGCTACACGGAGGAGACGAGTGAGCAAAACGCGCGGGGATACGCAGAGCAACATACCTAGGATGGACGACGGGCACGACGAGCAGCGGGAGATGGAGGTGGAGTGAAGACAAGAAGAGAGCTGCGTGACCTTGTTGACGATTTGATGGTTTCACGGCACTCAAGTCGCGTGCATCACGTCACCCTCGTGCCCGTCGCCGAGTCAGGGTCGGGGAATAATCGGCACGGCGAACAGGTTTAGGTGATGGCATGGGAATTCTCAGGCAGGCGGTGATGCCATGATGCCCGCCGCCCATGATATCAGGCGGCGCATCGGTCGGCTCCGCATGCGACACATCGGGGATGTTGATACCCATGAGGGGAAAGACAAAGCATCAGACTGGGGCGAGGCGGGAGTGGTAGGTCGAATGAGGATGGTACGATGTGCCATTGATACCGGTGGCCGAGCCCAGGCCACACGGCATCTCGACTATTTTAGGATGGAGCGCCGGGGAAGGGAATGGAAGCGCGGGCAGCGCGCTCAGGGTTTAATAACCGCTCAGGGTTCAATGTGTCATGCTCAGGGATGGTGCCGGGATTATCAACGCGGAGAGAAGCAGCCCACAGTGGAAACCGCTGACAGCCGGAGGCCGCCCGAGGAGATGTGATGTTAACCTGCCTTGCGCTCTACCTCATAGTCTCTTGCTCAAGCTGGCTTTGGTCTATGTGCTTCTTTCCCTGCTAGTGTTTCACTGTTTTAGTCTACTCAAATTTTGACCTTGTCCTTTTTTTTCGCTTAAATCAACCATAAACACACCTGAAATCACGCGTTTCTCGCGTTTTACCGCGTAATTTTCTCTGGCCTTCAGTCGTTCTTGCGCGCTCACTTTTCCTGAGCCATCACCACTCACGCTGGGATCCAAATCCGGCAATTGGCCCGGTCCGCCTCGGACTCCTGCCCCTCCACACCTCTGCGTCAACTTAATTCAGGAAGGTTTTAGATAAGGATTCCTTCTATCCGCCGAGTAATTTCCGAAGCCTATCGCTGCACGCGATGCTCTTAAATTCAGGGAAAAACAACAAACCTTATTTCGTGCGGTAAGCCGGTGGGCAATGGCCATGAGGCCAGATTAAGTTTACAGGACGATATTAATAGATGAACCCATTTCAACGCCGTCCCCCGATCCACCCAGCAGGTTCAGAATGGTACGATCTTCGCAAATCAATTCTGGGGCCCACACTGATTTCTGTTTAATGAAGCCCGTGTTACCAAGCCACCCTCCGCGGTATTCCCGCTTGACAGATGGAACTAGTTGCCCAGTCCTACAGCAGTTATTTCCGTCTCGCAGAGTTCAACCTCGACAATTTTCAATGCACTTCATCTTGTTGGTATTTTGTACTTCAATCTGTAGATGCAATGCATTAGGGCCAAAGTATCACTTAGAGCCACTCTATGTCTCTTTGCGCACACTCGCCGTCGCTCAAAATAGCTCACTTGTGGCATGGAAACTGACATCTCTCCATTTCGGAGAAGTTCAGTCAGCATTTTGCGGCGGCGCAACCGAGATAATGACATGGGCAGTGTTCGCTAAGCGAGCTCCACGGCCCGGCTTCGCGTATATAAGGCCACGGCCGCACGTCTCTCTTCCTTTCCCCCCATCCTCTCCCTTTACCGCTTGAGTCAACATGCCCCATGTGCTGTCGGTGGTCGTTGTTCGGTGCGCTCCCTTTTGTCGTTGTCCCCACCATTCTTCTCCCTCCACGTCGTTGACTTTCCTTGTGCCATTCCATTCTTATACTTCGTCTTCCCTGCTCTCGCTCTTCCGCATACCATTCTCTTTTTTCGTTGTTATACACCCATACTTATATGAATTTTTGTACTTACATTCGTTCTCTCCTGCCCTCTGCTAACGTCCATCCCAGTTTGCGACCACTTGAAGCACGACCTGTAATCGTGTGAGTACCGTCATTTGTTCCCCAATACTCTCACCTATTTCTCAGTGCGCTGGCTTCGCCACTTCCCTGAACGCTCCCGCTTTCGTGAGTGAACCTCTTTTGATTTGGTTAGTCCATTGTCTTCTACTTGAAGACGTTCGCGCTTACCGATTGCTAGAAAGACAGAGGCCAACGATTGCGCAGCAGAAACAGCGCCTTTCTTGCATGTGTTCTCGCTGTTTCTGCCCTCGTCGTACATGCTCAGGCTGACTCGATTCAGGGCGGTTAGCAGTCGGGTATGGTCCTGGGGAGCTTGCGCTGGCGAATCCTGCTGTCTTGCGTGAGGTTTGTGCCGACTTGTCGCTGGTCTTGACGATACTAACCAACAGCAGTTAGTAGTACCATACAAGCGACTTACTCAATGGCGGATTTCGTTACAAGCGGCGAGAAAGTGCTGTTGCCGGAAAGACACTCGTCGTCATCAAGGTGCGTTTCCTGTTGTCTTGCGCGTTTGACGACGCTGAATCCACCGTCAGTCAGCGTTTCACTGCCTGATCGACAAGGGCACCTCTTTTGACATCCTCTTCCTTTCCCTCCACACGCTGACCCTCGTTCCAAGTTCCAGGCCGGCCGCCGTTTCTTCTTGGCCATTCCCCACCGATCCTCTCGTTGTCGAAATCGGCGCTGACGGCCTTGTTGCTTGTCGTGTCGATTTGGCGGCTTTAGAAGACAGCGGGGGCGAGCAACGTAGCTCGGAAGGCGTCAGAGCAGCTCGGCAAACGGCTGGAAGGAGTAGTCAGTCTTGTAGACCAGTGTGGACAGATTCGGCGCCTTGCCGTTGGGCTGGCTGGCAAGTGCGGGTTGGTGCGGGGCCGTTTGCGGCCGCGCAGTCGGCGCGTCTTGACATGGGCCGCGCTTGTATGGCTCGGGGCCGCGCTGTGCGGACGCGCGGGTCGGGGAAGCGCGCGGAGATGGGGAGCGGGAGTGGTTCGTAAGCAACACGTGCCTTCGGGTGACGGACCCGACAGGCCGGCGGTCGCTTACACTCCCACCCCCTCACGACCCTGAGCCGCCGTCGTTGGTGCTGCGTGCGCGCGGCCTGTCTCGGGCTGGCGCAGCGGGTCGGCGTCGCACGGGCTGGCGTCGGTGGGACTGGTGAGTCTGTTGTCTTTGTGCCTACTGCTTGGTCATTGCCTACGCTGACCCTTTGCCTACAGTGCTCGCCGTGGGGCTGAATAATGTGTGAGCGAAGGGCTTGTGGTGCAGATATGTAACCGTACGATTTATGCTTGCCGTCTCCTCCGACGCTGACTACCACTCACAGACTGTCTTCATGCTCGTTGTCAACCCGGTATTGCTGTCGACACTGTGCGTGTTACTGATCGTGCGACGGTAGCTCGGTGTACCTTTTGCCTCTGGTCGTTGCCTGACCATGTACTCTTTCGGAGCCGGCGAGCCGCCCTTGTCGATGTCGTCCCAGTTCCGCCTCTCTGTTAATTTGAATGGAGCCCAGTGGCAGCCCACGGTACCATTCCCCTCTTGTCCTCCCTCTGCGTGCTAACCCTCTGTTTTAGGGTCGTGTTCATGTTGCTGACTGCCTGCCTGTTAGCCGCGCTCGCTCGTGGTGGGCAACGACGGAACCATCTTCCTCTCGTGTTGCCTGACTATCGTTCCTAGTTTCGTGCTCGTCGCCTTTAGCGTTGTTGACGCCGCTGGGCAGGTTTGGTCGTGCTGACTGGATGTTAGTACTCCCGTCTCTCCCTCCCTCTGCGTGCTCACCACCATTTGTAGCCGTCTTCGTCTTCAATCTCGTTGTCGGTGAGGATTGCGCCACCGCTAACTGCCTGTTACCGCGTTAGCTCATTCGTCTCCTTCTCGCGTTGCCCCTGCTGACCGTGATTTCCAGTATTACCACTGTGAGCGCGTTTCGGCCTGCGCCACACTCGTTGACCCGCTGTCAGTGTCGTAGCTTCTCTAATCAAGTGAGTGTCCTCGTTCTCGTTGTTGACAGTGTAGCTAACATGTTGTTAGCCATGTTCTCTTGAATGGGACCGCCGTACCACGTCCCACCGCTTAGTCGCCCTTGTTAGCCGCGTTTGCTCATCGTGGGCAAAAACAGTGCCCCTGCTAATTATCGTTGCTAGTGTCGTTGCAGCCGGCCGTCCCGGTTTCGCCATGCAAGGTATTCTTCTCCTCCTCGTCGTCGACAAGGTTGCTAAATCGTTGTTAGCGTGATGTGTTACGATTCTTCCACCTGCTCAGTCAAGTATACCTCGCAGGTTGCTAGTTTGTCGGCGCGTTCTTGTTCAAGTGAGTGTTGCTGATCTTGCTGAGACGAGTTGCTAACTTATCGTTAGCCGCGTTACCTACTAAGAGTGTTTCTCGTTCTTCGTGTTGTCGACCTGACCGCTGACTGCTTGTCAGCCGCGACACGGAACGGTTGTTCTCTGTTGCTTACCGGCGCTGTCGTCGTTGGCCTGCGGTATGTCCGAGTCGCCCCGAACGGAGTCGGATTGCTTCTAACTGACCGGCTTGTCATTAGCGGCGTCATTGAGTCGGCTGGTATCCAGCCCCAGTAGGTACTTGGTAGTGGTACTACTCGGTAGTGATAGTAGTGCTGCCAGCCTGGCACAGGCTTACCGTTCGCGGCTGTGGCCGTTTGACGTGGCCGTGTCTTCCGGCGGGGGAACGGGGTTCCTCATGGGGGGAGGTGTGGAGTTGGTTGGCCCGTGCTCTGTCAGCGCGGGAGACAAGCGCGGTTGATCAGTGGCACGTGGCTCGGCGGGTCTTGCATCCGAGCAGCCCGTCGCGTTACCACGCCGTCTTCGAGCCCCGGTGGACGCGCAGCTCATAAAGCGGCGGGACGCACCACAAATGATCTCAACGACAGCGTGTGGGATCGCGATCGCAGGGAGCACGATGCGTGAACGCCACAAAGGGCGTTCCCGACAGGATCGTCGTCTTTGCGCATGGACATTCGGCCGTGCGAAATTCCTGCTCAACAACCTTCATAGCGAAGTGACATCGCTTAGGAGCGGTGGCCAATGCCGCGCATGCGGGTGCAGACCTGCCCACAATCGTTCTTCATGTTCATTTCCGTTTGCGCAACCGGCAGCGGGGCCGGGAAAGGTGGTATTAGGGCATCCCTTTCCAGCCCAGCTCTTCCCAGCCCGTTGTTTGGATACAGGCTTTGCCAGCGGACATTGCGCGGCCCGTCGAATAAGGTGTGGGCAACGACTGGAAACGACCCACGACGCGCGCGCAAATGTGGCAATTTGTCGCGAGGGCCACTTTCCATCAGGGCGTCGCTGAGCTTGAGCATGAGCAAACGCGGGGCGCCGGGGAGGTACAGGCACGCATATAGGCGAGGGGGATGGCCACTGACAAGGCCCCCACTTTCTCTAATGGACAACGCCACGAATTCGTATGCGCCGGCAGGCGATGCCTCCAACGCTCTTGTCGAGAAGTCCTTCCTGGATGGGTACGCGCTGGGAGCTGTAAGCTACGGTCAGTCTCTGAATATCGCCTCAGTCGCTTGTCTTACCGAATAAATATCCAGGCATTCTTGTCATCCTGACCTGGCAAACCCTGTACTCGTTCCTCAGTCTCCCGCGCACCAGAATGCCGTGGGGCCTTGTCAGCTGCGCATGTGGCATCTTCACATTGGCAACAATCGGCTTTGGGAGCGCTACCAAGATCAACGAGGAGGCGTTTATTGATGACCGCGCAGCGCCGGGCGGCCCGAGCGGCTTCGAAGTCAGTTCGTTTGCCTCGGGGGTGAATATGATGGGGGTTATCGCGTATGTCGTGCTGAGCTGGCTCGCAGACGGTTTGGTGGTTGGTCAATCTTGATTTTCGTTGCTGGGGCTAAAAAACGGTAGCTGTGGCGCTTCTGGCTCATCTGGGGATCCAACTACACATACGCTGTCTTCCCAGCGCTGATGCTTCTGGGCTCGATAGGTCAGCCAACTGTTCTGGTTTGCATTCACACTTACCTTCTCCTCAGTGTCCTCCCTCGCGCTCATCGTCGCCTCTTTTCAACTCGCCGACTCCTTCTGGGCAGCACGCTCCGTCCAATTCGGCACTGCCTACTGGTCACTCTCCATTGCGCTCAACGTTCTCCTCACGCTGCTCATCACCGGCCGCATCCTACTCATCCGCCGCCGCATCAAGCGCTCGCTCGGCCCACGCGGGCAAGTATGTAATATATTCACATGTCAGACCATACCCCCCCTTGCACGCCTCGCTCCAACGCTAAGTCGCGCTCGCTCGCCAAGTCGCGCGAGCGAGGGACCCCTCTAATATACCTCGCTGGCTCGCGCACGGACCTCAACAAAGTCACGAGATAAATTCACTGGGGGCGAAAATTTGGACTTTGGGGACTGTTTTGGACATGTCTGGTGGCTTTCTTAGGCAAAGTCATCTCTCGGGCTTTCCGGGTATGCATAGAGTGGTGTAAAAAGTCATATATTTCACCAAGTCTACCAGACATGCTAATATACCACGCGTCGCGACGCGTCTGATGCCGCCCCAGCCAGTTATCCGTCTCGCGCCGCGTCAGCTCCCAATCCAATGCCCAACTCCATCCCGCCGATAACTGCGCAACAGTGGCCAACACTGTCCCGGCAGCGTTGCTAGTCAGGGCAGCACCTTGGCCTCCGGCGGCCCGGACCTACGAAAAAATGAGTCTTGAATTGCGTCAAAATGGCGCAAAATGTACCTCAGAAATACCATCAAATTGGGGCCGAGACGTCCGTAATGACAGTAAAGAGCGCGAAAAGCGGTAGGGCGGCAACAGTTAGACGATCGCGCGGAGGAGGTCGGCGCAAGTAGCGAGTGAGGCCAGGCCGGGACCCAACGTTCGCGTAAGACGGGTAGCGCAGCATGATAGCTGACTCGCAAGGGAGAAGTCGGGTTTGAACGACAGGGAAGGAATGCCGAGAGCGGGCAAGGCGGACATGGTGATGGAACGGAATGCCGGGGTGGCTCGGACAGCGCAGGAGAAGTAAGATGGGGCTGGCCCGGTTGGTTACAGCTGTGCCGAGGTGGTTGACAGCGGGGCGGGAACGTAGGCCTCCGGCGGCCCAGACCTGTGAAAAATTGAGCTTTGAATTGCAAAAAAGAGGGCCTCGAACGCACGGCAAAATACCATCAAAATCTGATGATTAGAGTGATCCGAGTACGGCGTAGCTTCCTGTGTCAAAGTCAGTGATGATTGGGCGGGGATCAGGGCCTTACCAGCCGAACACCATGATCACCCATTGAGCCAACGGGCAGCGCAGCGCTGCTAGGCCACCCGTTATTCATGCCTCTGGCAGCAAAGACCCACAAGAAAATGAGCCTCAAATTGCGCAAAAACACCGCCGGAATGCTCCCCAGAATACCATCAAAATCTGATGATCGCATCAGCCGAACAATGCCGATGGCGGTGCCGGGTCCAGCCGACAGGTGATCGAGAAGCGGCTAGCCCACAGTAGCAGAGCACGGTGCAGGGGGAAAGTGGCTGACAGTCCAGGCAGCTTCATTGGCCTCCGGCGGCAAAAATCTGGGAAAAATAGTTAGTTTTTGGCCCTAAAATGTTCAACAAAAAAATGTGCTTACGTAAGCGCTGTAAGCACACCAAATTCGCCTATGTATCGCGTCAAAAACCTGACATTAGCAATGGAGGAAGCACATAACATATCAGCATAGTTTCCCTGGTTCCCCCGCCATTCAAGAGCGGACACCATTGGGACATCAAATCAATCACATGCAACGCAGCCAAGAAAAACGAGAACATACCAGCATAGTTTTCCTATAGCTTCGTTCAAGGATGAGCAGCGGACAAGGTCGCATGAGGACAGAAATCTAAAACCATCATCAACATCATGTCAGGAACGAAATTCTGCGTACCAACAGAGGTTCCCCCCTCTGTACAAGGGTCAGTAGCGCCGCAATGACGACGGCCAAGAATCTAAAGTTGAGATCAATATAGCACCATGCAGGGGCAAGGGCAGTAACGTACCAGTAAGGATTCCGGGCCGGAGCAGAGGTTCCTCCTCCACGCGAAGTTACACTCGCCGACAGCTATGCCAGTCATCAGTACTACATCATATGCCAACAGCAGAAAGACTTACAGTAAGATATGCATGTCCGAACAGAGGTTCCCCCTCTATTAGGCATCGCTCGATGACGACCACGACAAATCTACGCTTGGTATCAACATGAGATCATCGACAAGGGACGGCAATGACTTACGAACCACCATTTTGCCTGCGAGCATAGGTTCCCCCTCCGTGCAGCATTGCGCGCGATGTAGCCACGCCCCCATAACAATCACCGAGAATCTATATTAGTATGGCATTTGAGCAACGGCGGCGGCGACCTACCAACGCTGGAGCAGAGGTTCCCCTCCGTGCGCAGGGGGTTGCGCTCGACAGAAGCTAAGTAAGGCATCAGCACTACATCATGTCCCAACAACAGAAACAGCTTACAATGTGCCCGAGCAGAGGTTCGACAATTCAAATCGACCAGTAGTAACAAGTTCAAGGCCGCATCCCAGCAGAGGTTGGTCATGGACCGTGATGACAAGACCAAGGCTGAGTTGGAGTATTAGTATAATATATGCTAACAGCAAAGACAACGCACTGGCAAGAATTGTACGAATCGAAGTAGAGCAAAAGCAGAGGGACAACGACGGCCCCATTGTCGAGCCAATAGCAGCTCAGGAGGAGAAGTAGCGCCGCCAAGTTAACAGTGCCTTGCAGCCTGAGCAGGACCGGAAGAGGGGGGGTCCAGCTGTTGGAAACTACAGAAAGAGTAAGCGAAAGAACAAGGCAGCACACAAACACACATTTGTCTTGTCTTGTCTTGTCACATACAAGGAGAGGCATCTTCGCAGTCCACGTTGAGGATGGGCAGACCCAACGCCCGAGGACGTCCTGTGTAAGCACAAGTCAGCATAAGGAGGCACCGAGAGGCACAGTGCGTACATACCAGAGAGGCCAGCAAGTTCGCGTTCGTTGTCGAAAGCCCAGTTTGAGTCGATTGGGAACGGGGGGCTACACGGAGGAGACGAGTGAGCAAAACGCGCGGGGATACGCAGAGCAACATACCTAGGATGGACGACGGGCACGACGAGCAGCGGGAGATGGAGGTGGAGTGAAGACAAGAAGAGAGCTGCGTGACCTTGTTGACGATTTGATGGTTTCACGGCACTCAAGTCGCGTGCATCACGTCACCCTCGTGCCCGTCGCCGAGTCAGGGTCGGGGAATAATCGGCACGGCGAACAGGTTTAGGTGATGGCATGGGAATTCTCAGGCAGGCGGTGATGCCATGATGCCCGCCGCCCATGATATCAGGCGGCGCATCGGTCGGCTCCGCATGCGACACATCGGGGATGTTGATACCCATGAGGGGAAAGACAAAGCATCAGACCGGGGCGAGGCGGGGAGTGGTAGGTCGAATGAGGATGGTACGATGTGCCATTGATACCGGTGGCCGAGCCCAGGCCACACGGCATCTCGACTATTTTAGGATGGAGCGCCGGGGAAGGGAATGGAAGCGCGCAAGAAGCGCGGGCAGCGCGCTCAGGGTTTAATAACCGCTCAGGGTTCAATGTGTCATGCTCAGGGATGGTGCCGGGATTATCAACGCGGAGAGAAGCAGCCCACAGTGGAAACCGCTGACAGCCGGAGGCCGCCCGAGGAGCTGTGATGTTAACCTGCCTTGCCCTCGATTTCATAGTCTCTTGCTCAAGCTGGCTTTGGTCTCTGTGCTTCTTTCCCTGCTAGTGTTTCGTTGTTTTAGTTTACTCAAATTTTGACCTTGTCTTTTTTTTTCGCTTAAATCAACCATAAACACACCTGAAATCACGCGTTTCTCGCGTTTTACCGCGTAATTTTCTCTGGCCTTCAGTCATTCTTGCGCGCTCACTTTTCCTGAGCCATCACCACTCACGCTGGGATCCAAATCCGGCAATTGGCCCGGTCCGCCTCGGACTCCTGCCCCTCCACACCTCTGCATCAACTTAATTCAGGAAGGTTTTAGATAAGGATTCCTTCTATCCGCCGAGTAATTTCCGAAGCCTATCGCTGCACGCGATGCTCTTAAATTCAGGGAAAAACAACAAACCTTATTTCGTGCGGTAAGCCGGTGGGCAATGGCCATGAGGCCAGATTAAGTTTACAGGACGATATTAATAGATGAACCCATTTCAACGCCGTCCCCCGATCCACCCAGCAGGTTCAGAATGGTACGATCTTCGCAAATCAATTCTGGGGCCCACACTGATTTCTGTTTAATGAAGCCCGTGTTACCAAGCCACCCTCCGCGGTATTCCCGCTTGACAGATGGAACTAGTTGCCCAGTCCTACAGCAGTTATTTCCGTCTCGCAGAGTTCAACCTCGACAATTTTCAATGCACTTCATCTTGTTGGTATTTTGTACTTCAATCTGTAGATGCAATGCATTAGGGCCAAAGTATCACTTAGAGCCACTCTATGTCTCTTTGCGCACACTCGCCGTCGCTCAAAATAGCTCACTTGTGGCATGGAAACTGACATCTCTCCATTTCGGAGAAGTTCAGTCAGCATTTTGCGGCGGCGCAACCGAGATAATGACATGGGCAGTGTTCGCTAAGCGAGCTCCACGGCCCGGCTTCGCGTATATAAGGCCACGGCCGCACGTCTCTCTTCCTTTCCCCCCATCCTCTCCCTTTACCGCTTGAGTCAACATGCCCCATGTGCTGTCGGTGGTCGTTGTTCGGTGCGCTCCCTTTTGTCGTTGTCCCCACCATTCTTCTCCCTCCACGTCGTTGACTTTCCTTGTGCCATTCCATTCTTATACTTCGTCTTCCCTGCTCTCGCTCTTCCGCATACCATTCTCTTTTTTCGTTGTTATACACCCATACTTATATGAATTTTTGTACTTACATTCGTTCTCTCCTGCCCTCTGCTAACGTCCATCCCAGTTTGCGACCACTTGAAGCACGACCTGTAATCGTGTGAGTACCGTCATTTGTTCCCCAATACTCTCACCTATTTCTCAGTGCGCTGGCTTCGCCACTTCCCTGAACGCTCCCGCTTTCGTGAGTGAACCTCTTTTGATTTGGTTAGTCCATTGTCTTCTACTTGAAGACGTTCGCGCTTACCGATTGCTAGAAAGACAGAGGCCAACGATTGCGCAGCAGAAACAGCGCCTTTCTTGCATGTGTTCTCGCTGTTTCTGCCCTCGTCGTACATGCTCAGGCTGACTCGATTCAGGGCGGTTAGCAGTCGGGTATGGTCCTGGGGAGCTTGCGCTGGCGAATCCTGCTGTCTTGCGTGAGGTTTGTGCCGACTTGTCGCTGGTCTTGACGATACTAACCAACAGCAGTTAGTAGTACCATACAAGCGACTTACTCAATGGCGGATTTCGTTACAAGCGGCGAGAAAGTGCTGTTGCCGGAAAGACACTCGTCGTCATCAAGGTGCGTTTCCTGTTGTCTTGCGCGTTTGACGACGCTGAATCCACCGTCAGTCAGCGTTTCACTGCCTGATCGACAAGGGCACCTCTTTTGACATCCTCTTCCTTTCCCTCCACACACTGACCCTCGTTCCAAGTTCCAGGCCGGCCGCCGTTTCTTCTTGGCCATTCCCCACCGATCCTCTCGTTGTCGAAATCGGCGCTGACGGCCTTGTTGCTTGTCGTGTCGATTTGGCGGCTTTAGAAGACAGCGGGGGCGAGCAACGTAGCTCGGAAGGCGTCAGAGCAGCTCGGCAAACGGCTGGAAGGAGTAGTCAGTCTTGTAAACCAGTGTGGACAGATTCGGCGCCTTGCCGTTGGGCTGGCTGGCAAGTGCGGCTTGGTGCGGGGCCGTTTGCGGCCGCGCAGTCGGCGCGTCTTGACATGGGCCGCGCTTGTGTGGCTCGGGGCCGCGCTGTGCGGACGCGCGGGTCGGGGAAGCGCGCGGAGATGGGGAGCGGGAGTGGTTCGTAAGCAACACGTGCCTTCGGGTGACGGACCCGACAGGCCGGCGGTCGCTTACACTCCCACCCCCTCACGACCCTGAGCCGCCGTCGTTGGTGCTGCACGCGCGGGGCCTGTCTCGGGCTGGCGCAGTGGGTCGGCGTCGCACGGGCCGGCGTCGGTGGGACTGGTGAGTCTGTTGTCTTTGTGCCTACTGCTTGGTCATTGCCTACGCTGACCCTTTGCCTACAGTGCTCGCCGTGGGGCTGAATAATGTGTGAGCGAAGGGCTTGTGGTGCAGATATGTAACCGTACGATTTATGCTTGCCGTCTCCTCCGACGCTGACTACCACTCACAGACTGTCTTCATGCTCGTTGTCAACCCGGTATTGCTGTCGACACTGTGCGTGTTACTGATCGTGCGACGGTAGCTCGGTGTACCTTTTGCCTCTGGTCGTTGTTCTGCCTGACCATGTACTCTTTCGGAGCCGGCGAGCCGCCCTTGTCGATGTCGTCCCAGTTCCGCCTCTCTGTTAATTTGAATGGAGCCCAGTGGCAGCCCACGGTACCATTCCCCTCTTGTCCTCCCTCTGCGTGCTAACCCTCTGTTTTAGGGTCGTGTTCATGTTGCTGACTGCCTGCCTGTTAGCCGCGCTCGCTCGTCGTGGGCAACGACGGAACCATCTTCCTCTCGTGTTGCCTGACTATCGTTCCTAGTTTCGTGCTCGTCGCCTTTAGCGTTGTTGACGCCGCTGGGCAGGTTTGGTCGTGCTGACTGGATGTTAGTACTCCCGTCTCTCCCTCCCTCTGCGTGCTCACCACCATTTGTAGCCGTCTTCGTCTTCAATCTCGTTGTCGGTGAGGATTGCGCCACCGCTAACTGCCTGTTACCGCGTTAGCTCATTCGTCTCCTTCTCGCGTTGCCCCTGCTGACCGTGATTTCCAGTATTACCACTGTGAGCGCGTTTCGGCCTGCGCCACACTCGTTGACCCGCTGTCAGTGTCGTAGCTTCTCTAATCAAGTGAGTGTCCTCGTTCTCGTTGTTGACAGTGTAGCTAACATGTTGTTAGCCATGTTCTCTTGAATGGGACCGCCGTACCACGTCCCACCGCTTAGTCGCCCTTGTTAGCCGCGTTTGCTCATCGTGGGCAAAAACAGTGCCCCTGCTAATCATCGTTGCTAGTGTCGTTGCAGCCGGCCGTCCCGGTTTCGCCATGCAAGGTATTCTTCTCCTCCTCGTCCGTCGACAAGGTTGCTAAATCGTTGTTAGCGTGATGTGTTACGATTCTTCCACCTGCTCAGTCAAGTATACCTCGCAGGTTGCTAGTTTGTCGGCGCGTTCTTGTTCAAGTGAGTGTTGCTGATCTTGCTGAGACGAGTTGCTAACTTATCGTTAGCCGCGTTACCTACTAAGAGTGTTTCTCGTTCTTCGTGTTGTCGACCTGACCGCTGACTGCTTGTCAGCCGCGACACGGAACGGTTGTTCTCTGTTGCTTACCGGCGCTGTCGTCGTTGGCCTGCGGTATGTCCGAGTCGCCCCGAACGGAGTCGGATTGCTTCTAACTGACCGGCTTGTCATTAGCGGCGTCATTGAGTCGGCTGGTATCCAGCCCCAGTAGGTACTTGGTAGTGGTACTACTCGGTAGTGATAGTGCTGCCAGCCTGGCACAGGCTTACCGTTCGCGGCTGTGGCCGTTTCCTCATGGGGGGAGGTGTGGAGTTGGTTGGCCCGTGCTCTGTCGGCGCGGGAGACAAGCGCGGTTGATCAGTGGCACGTGGCTCGGCGGGTCTTGCATCCGAGCAGCCCGTCGCGTTACCACGCCGTCTTCGAGCCCCGGTGGACGCGCAGCTCATAAAGCGGCGGGACGCACCACAAATGATCTCAACGACAGCGTGTGGGATCGAGGAAGATCGGGGAGCACGATGCGTGAACGCCACAAAGGGCGTTCCCGACAGGATCGTCGTCTTTGCGCATGGACATTCGGCCGTGCGAAGTTCCTGCTCAACAACCTTCATGGCGAAGTGACATCGCTTAGGAGCGGTAGCCAATGCCGCGCATGCGGGTGCAGACCTGCCCGCAATCGTTCTTCATGTTCATTTCCGTTTTGCGCAACCGGCAGAAAGCCGGCAAAGGCGGTATTCCAGACAAAGGGTATCCCTTTGCAGCCCAGCTCTTCCCAGCCCGTTGTTTGGATACGGGCTTTACCAGCGGACATTGCGCGGCCCGTCGAATAAGGTGTGGGCAGCGACCCACGACGCGCGCGCAAATGCAATTTGTCGCGAGGGCCACTTTCCATCAGGGCGTCGCTGAGCTTGAGCATGAGCAAACGCGGGGCGCCGGGGAGGTACAGGCACGCATATAGGCGAGGGGGATGGCCACTGACAAGGCCCCACTTTCTCTAATGGACAACGCCACGAATTCGTATGCGCCGGCAGGCGATGCCTCCAACGCTCTTGTCGAGAAGTCCTTCCTGGATGGGTACGCGCTGGGAGCTGTAAGCTACGGTCAGTTACTGAATTTCGCCTCAGTCGCTTGTCTTACCGAATAAATATCCAGGCATTCTTGTCATCCTGACCTGGCAAACCCTGTACTCCTTCCTCAGTCTCCCGCGCACCAAAATGCCGTGGGGCCTTGTCACCTGCGCATGCTGCATCTTCACATTGGCAACAATTGGGTTCGGGAGCGCTACCAAGATCAACGAGGAGGCGTTTATTGATGACCGCGCAGCGCCGGGCGGCCCGAGCGGCTTCGAAGTCAGTTCGTTTGCCTCGGGGGTGAATATGATGGGGGTTATCGCGTATGTCGTGCTGAGCTGGCTCGCAGACGGTTTGGTGGTTGGTCAATCTTGATTTTCGTTGCTGGGGCTAAAAAACGGTAGCTGTGGCGCTTCTGGCTCATCTGGGGATCCAACTACACATACGCTGTCTTCCCAGCGCTGATGCTTCTGGGCTCGATAGGTCAGCCAACTGTTCTGGTTTGCATTCACACTTACTTTCTCCTCAGTGTCCTCCCTTGCGCTCATCGTCGCCTCTTTTCAACTCGCCGACTCCTTCTGGGCAGCACGCTCCGTCCAATTCGGCACTGCCTACTGGTCACTCTCTATTGCGCTCAACGTGCTCCTCACGCTGCTCATCACCGGCCGCATTCTCCTCATCCGCCGCCGCATCAAGCGCTCGCTCGGCCCCCAGCACGCGGGCAAGTATTTCTCCGCCGCGGCCATGATTGTTGAGAGCGCGGCCCTATACGCGGGAGTAGGCCTCCTTTTCCTTGGCGCGTATGTCAAGGGCAGTGCGCTGCAGAATCTGGTGTTTCCGGTCTTGGGACAGGTGCAGGTAAGCGCTTCTTTCTCCTTCTTTTCGGATTGCTGAAGCCTTATTAGGGCATTGCCCCGATGCTAATCCTCGCGCGCGTCGCCCAGGGCCGCGCATGGTCGCAAAGCACTGTAGAGGCTACTGCCGCTGGCGGCATGCGCGGGCCGCCCGCCACCATTCCGCTTGGTAGCCTGCACGACCGCTCCGCTGTAGAGAATGTCACGGTCCATATTTCCACGCAGCATGACAGACATACCGATTCGGTGCCGTCGTTGAGCGACAAGGCTGGTAGTCCGGTGTAGAGGGTGGAGGTAGCAGCAAACAGCCGGAGGGTGAGCAGGTTCATGTAAATATGTTTGTGCGGGGTTAGAGCGTTGTAGGCTGGCGCAGTGTGGAGTTCTTCAAAGTGTACTGGTTGTAGATTTGGAGCGAAGTTTTGTGAATCATTGCCAACCTCCGTTAGCCCAGATGCCATGTGCTATAACCTTGGCTATAACGTACTAGTATTAACGACTTAGACTGGCAGAGACCGTAAGAACGGCCGTCGCTGTATGCGGCACGGTATATTAGAAACAGGTCTTTCGATGGCATGCGCGCATGACCGTGATGCTGAGCGAGAAAGGGAGAGTTTGTGGCAAGTTTGTGGTTTTGTTGAGAGTTTGATGTTATCCGTGACTTTGTGACGGCACTAGACTGGTGGCGGAGGTGAAGCTGTTGGACCGCATGACTGGAATGCGACCCTGACGGCTCACCGTTGCCCTACAGCTGCCAGCGCCATCAACACGCGAACACCTAGTACACCTGTGAAAATAAGTAGTAAGGATGTCATGGTGGGTGCCGCCAGACAGTAAGAAAATCACAGCATCATTCAGTCATCCTGATCTCGTCACTACGATGACCGTCGTTGCCTCCCTCGCCCAGGAGCTTGTCGACCACTATCCTCGACTTCCTGCATGATGACCGTGCCGCCCTTATGAACAGTAGCCTTGTTTGCCGCACATGGCTCCCTGCGACGCGCTACCACCTATTCCAATGCATCACACTCAGTCTGCTCCGAGTCCGCCATGGCCGTATTCGCGACACTGCCCGTCCATTTCTTCAGCTATGTCACTCTCCGCTGTGCACGATATTGTCTGGTATCCAAAACGTCGTCATGGCGGTTCGGACCGATTGGGAACCACGAATAACTAAGGATATTAGGTACGGTCAGAGTACCGAAAAACACGTCCGAAAACATGATCCAAAAAGTTTGTGATGGCAACTTTCCGGAAGGTCAGAATTTTCCGGATTGCATACCGACTCATAGAGCCGGTATGACATCCAGAATTTCGGACGTGTCCCGAAAAACAAAAAGAGTACGATTACATCATGTCTGTAAGGCTCCAACTAATTACTATCCATATACACTCCAAGGCTGTATTGTATTGGGATATGGATAGTATTGAGTTATAACCCAATATATTGAGTATATAGTAGATAATATATTGTTATAAAATATTATTTTATATATCACAATCATGATAGTTATTAACTATCTAGTATAGTTCTGTCATATGCTAGGGACCATAATAACATCTTAGTTACAGGTCCTGAAAGTCTTAGAGCTGCAAAAAGATGACATTGAGGTTAACCAAGGCTTTTAATAGTCAAATATAATAGTAAAACAGCACAGATATCAGATCAAGAGGAAACTGGGTAATGAGATAAATGTTGCGTTGATAGTTAACTATAAAACTCTCTTCTTATTATAATACTTACAGTCTTTTGATTATGATAAATTCAAATTTCTATTGACAAAAATATAACTGAAAATTTAATATAATAATGAGGTTGTTTAGATGGGTCAGTTTGTGGGTCAGTTAGAAGCTGTGGTTAACGTAGCACCTGAACTTTTAGTATCAGATATAGTCCCAAAAAGTATGATAACAAAGACTCAGAAAATACCTTATCTGGAAGAAGTTGACTTGATAACACTTACAGATACTGTCTATATAGGCCTCTGAGAAAACTCAATAGTATAGAGTATCTATACAGTATATACTCTATACTACAAAAATTTTGCCACCCTGTATATATATATGGATTGTATTGGGTTATAACTCAATATATTGAGTATTGTATTGTATTTGGTTGGAGCCTTACATGTCTGTAGTAGTTGATCGCCGTGAAGTCTCTTTCCTTCCTCCCTCTCGAGTCTCGCGCTGGTTCCTCTGCCCAGATGTCTGGTACGCGCAAGCCCACCACTGCACGTCCGCCCTCTGCTCGAGTCAAGGCAAAATCAGCCACCATGGCCAGCCCAAAGAACAAGCCCAACGGTACAAACACTAAGAAACCGGCCACGAAGAAGGTGAAGAAGGACAACGGGGAGGTGGAGCCAGTTGTTGTTGACTCAGACACGGAGGGGTTGGGTAGTGACAACGAAGAGAAGGAGCAGAAGCCTCTGCCTGTTCCCAAGGCGCTCAAAAACCCGTGTGTTGTCTGCAGCTGAGTATGTCATCGACACATTTTAACTGTTGTTCTGCAGCTTCAAAGGCGCCAGTGGTATCACCTTAACTTGGACCCTCCTCAATGCCATTGCCGAGAACACAGTGTGGAAGAACAAGCTGTATCCTCCGAAAGGCCAGAACACGACAACGGCCAAAGGTGGCGGGCTCTCAAAGGCGGCTATTCACTGGGAGCTAGCAAAGGCACTCTGGGGCAAGGATGAGGCGGCATTCTTTGACTGGCTGGCCAAGGCAAAAGCCAAGGACCGCGAGGCGATTGGGGACAAGGTAAAGTATCGTCTTAGCGTGTATGTCCTCATTTTGCCCACTGGCTCTATCTAACCACTTCAGTCTCGAGATGGAGACCAAGCATATCCGTAAGACAATGAAGCAAACAGGCGAGGGCAATAAGATGACCCAAGCCGAGCTTGATGCGTTGCCGGAAGACGATGAACGGCGTTCAGCGTGGGGTATGTGTTCTTGCAGCTATGTTCTTGTTGTTAACAGAGACTTTAGGATCCCAGCTCGCCTCGTTTCCCTTCTACTTTGAGGTCGATGAGCTCCTTGGTCGGCGTCCCAGTGCTGAGCCTGTCGCTGTCGGAAATAGCGCCACAGACGACTTCTTGCTTGTCAACCGCGGCGATGGCGCCTCGTCTGATGCACCTCCGGCTGGCGGTGGGACAGATGCTGATGATAGCCCAGAATCTGATTTCGATAAATCCAGTGCATCTGAGAATGGGGATGATGAGGATGAAGATGTCAAGCCAGGCCATAAGCGCAAAAAAACAGCGCCACAACCGTCGATGTCTACATATGCTCGTTCAAGTACTAGTGTGGCAAAGAAGGCAAAGCTGGCCACGGTCGAGACACTTGTCAAGCAAGAGCACGAGACCCAATGCCGACAGCTTGACTTAGCTAAGCTAGAGGCTACTGCTGATGTCGAGCGAGCGAAAGCACGTCGACAGCATACCAAGGATGTTGAAGGACCACGGGAGCAGCTCAAACTCCACAAGCAGCGCTTCAAGGCAGAGAAGGCGGCCCAAATTGGTTTGGCGTGAGCTACTTTGACCGCAAGATGAACTATTCGATGAACCTTCAGGTATGTATTCTCCAATTCTTGCAGTTGTTGACTGACACAGTTCCAGGTCGTGAATCTACCCAATCTCCAGATTATTGACATTGGCTACGGCTACGTTGGAAGCACACATGACGCAAACCGCGTGGACAGGGACACGAATCTACCGCAACATCGAGACACTCTTGCGGGAGGGGGAGTTTATCTGGGGCGATGCTGCGTACCCTATCTCGCGCTGGCTGGTAGCGCCCATCAAAGGGCCGGAGCGCAACAGTCCTGACAACACCACCTTCAACAATCATGTGTCCTATGTTCGTGTTCGTTCCGAGCATGCCATCGGCTTCCTTAAAGGCCGTCTGCAGTCGCTGAAGGCATTGCGCCTCTCCATCCGGAGCGCCGAGGACCACAAGTATGCGACACAATGGATCATGGTGTGCGTTACCATCCACAACTTTGCACTCTTACACGAGCGCAAGTTGCATGCAGGGAATTCAGGCAGATATGGGTCACCAGAGGAGGATGTGTTTATTGCAGAGGGGCGTGAGCGTCTTCAAACACAGCGGTCGCAGCTTGATGCATCAGGCGCACGTGCTTGTCTGGCGCAGGGCAAGGCAAAGCGCCAAGAACTAAAATCTTTTCTACTCGACTCATTACATGCTTTTCGTGGATAGTACTAGATATTATTTGGAAGAAAGAGATGAATTACTTTTATGACTCTCCGTATGAGGGCCCAGCTCCAAACTGGCTCAGATCAAAATTTCCGCCCTCGAAGAGCCCTGAACCAAGGTATCCATCATCGCTCTCCATGGTTGAAAGGTCTAGTGAGAAGTTAGATGCTCCTGGAGAGCTGTGCTGTGAATGGCCAGGCGAGCCAATACCATACATTGGGCCTGATCCACTACCACCGTACATTGAGCTCGATGTATCACTGCCGTAGTACTCGGGGAAAAGCCTGCGGACGGCATCAATTCCAAACTCCTTCTCTGCGCGCAACATTTCCATACGCCGCTGGTGGCCGTGTCGCCAGCGGGATTAGCGTCCCGTCAACCATGCACCACCCATCTCTCCATTCCCGACACCCTGATGTCTTCTCCACCCATGCCTTTGCCTCCTCCTTCTCGGCTGGCGTTGGCATGTGCACATACTTCTTCATCATACCGCTGCCCAAAATGGCTGTGATGACACGACAGGTGCAACGCGGAATCGTGCCCTTGCCCAGTCCTGACCACCATGAGACGGATTGGAGGGAGGCAGCATTGCCGTCGTGTCCAAACTGGTACAGTGCAACGGCCAGTTGGACATCAACGGGCTTCTGGGGCGAGTTGGAGTCGTTGTAAAAGATGGGGTGGTTCTTGATCTTGTGGAGTAGTTTGTCGAAGGTCGTGGGCCAGATGCGCAGCTCCCCGTGAAAGTCATTGGGCTGTCGATGCTTCCAGACCCGCAGACAGGTGTGGAGCGTGCCCCGAGGCCGAATCAACCGTGTTCGCGGCACTTGATACCGACGCGAGTACATCTCGTTGAGCTGGGCTTGCACCCAGGTTAAGAGCCGAGAGGATTGAAATATGGTGCGGGTGCGTCGACGCGTCTCGTGCAGGGATAAGGAGGGGCTGGATGAGGAAGATGAAGAGCTAGATGAGTTGGAGCTAGAGCCGGATGAGGACGACTCAGAGTCATCATCCGAACTGCTCGAGTCTGAGCTAGAGTCTGAGTTGGTGTTGTCAGAGTCGTCTGAAGATTCCACGGAAGAGTCGGCCTGAGATGATGTGGTAAACCCATTGTCGTCGTGGCCACGGGGAGCTAGGACACCAGCATAGAGCTGTCCCAAGCTGTGCAGAGTATGCGCAGAAATGCCTAAACGGCGAAGGTAGTTAGACTGGCGTAGCTGGCGCTGCCGTTCGCGCTGTCGGTGGGATGCAAGGCGGTTGACGGACTTCAAGAGCTCCGCTGCCCGCCCGCGGCGGGATTCGTTGCGGCGCACCGTGGTGGCAGGAGGAAGAAGGATCACGCTTAGGGCACTCGGGAGATAGCTACAGTGTGTTTAATGCAATTTTTCGGATTGCTTTTTCCGGAGTACGGTCAAGGTTAGATCCTGAAAAACTATCCGAAATACAACTTTTCTGATTTATTTTGGAAGCACATTTCGGATGCATTTCGGACATGTTTTTCGGTACTCTGACCGTACCTATTGTCGAGCTGCTTGGTTCTTCCCCCATTCGCAAGCTGTTGTTTATCGACCTTCACAGAGAAGCGGCCCCACTTGCTTGGATTGCTCCACATTTTCCGTACCTTCAAGAACTCATCTACAATGGCACCGCATACTTCCTCTCCGACCCATTGTCGTTGGCGACCTCATTCCTGGCATTGAGAAGCCTCTCTCTCTATTCACGGCCCTCCGACCTAATTCCACCCTGTGTATTCATCCATCCATCTCCCCTGCATCCCTTCCGCCATCTCTCGAACCTCCGCTTCCGGTTTCTTGCTGCAGAAGTCGACGTCCTCATCGTGTGGTTGCTCGGAGTTGACGGCCTGCGACTAGAAACGCTAGACATCGTGTCCATCTTTGAGTACCACAACGGTTGGGGCCCGACCGACAATCTTAACGTCTTCCTGAAGCGCCAAGGCGGTTCGCTGCGGACGTTCCGAATGCAACTCAAGTACGAGGAGCTAAACGAGGACATCACTGGCAATGACGGGGACCGGCTGTTTAATACCAGCCAGGGCGACCGTACGTTACTCCTAACCGCGCATTTCCTGTACTGACTTAGTAGTTTAGTCGATCTCAGTCCCCTTGCCAGACTCGAAGTGCTCTACCTGAGCCAACACAACGTCGCCGCGCTCACAGCGACCATCTCCTCCGTGTCCAGCCTGTCCATCGCCGCCATCGAAGTGTCTCTCAACGACTGGTGGCCCTATTGGGGGAACGGCCACATATGCAGTTGTCGCACGTCCGCGCAAATCATCGAATTGACAGGGGTGCTGGCGCAGAATAAGTTCAGGGAGCTCACTAGCCTTATTGTCCGGCTGCCTGAGATTCCAGGTCTGTCCCCAGTCCGCGCACTGGAAACATATTCTCCGGGCTGGGCGGCGCGGTGGACGGGCACAGGTGTGGTTCATGTGGCGTTTCTGGAAGGATATAGCTATCAGGAGGGCGCATTCTAGCGGGACGACGTGCGACACCTAACCTGCCCACTTATCCCCTCTAGTTAGAGCCTCAGGGGGGGGTGAAGCTCTAACTAGAGGGGATAATGCAAATCTGCGGTGTTTCCTTAAACTTGCCTCTGGATGTTAGTGGACAGGATGTTAGTAGACGGGGAGTCTTGTGGGGGGGAAGGGGGGAGGCCGGCTGGGGGGGAGCGGGCTGGGGAGCGGGCTGGCCGGAGCATCAATGGATGATCACCGGATGACACGATGACAGCGAAGGTCATCATCGCTGTCTGCTGTCAAGTCCCGCCCTCTGCCCGCCCTCCCCCACCCTCATCCCATCACTGCCATCAAAGTTGCTGATGGCTGTTGATCTTGGGGTCGCCCATGGTCCCGCCCGCCGTCCCGATCTGATGGCGCATCAAAAAAACGAAAGTTATGCAGAATGCTCTGCTGATACCAAATGTACAAACCGTTTATCAATAGCTTGAGTAGTTAAGGAGATATAAGCCTTTTGATCTAGTGATGGATGAGTCTGAAGTTAGTAGACATCTTTTATATGGGATATTTGGAGGATTTTGATATGGTATGAGTATGTAGGGCAATTTATTATTTGGGTATCAATATGTAAGTCTCTATAGAAGGTGTTGGGACTGTCAGTAGAGGATCTGAGACATAGTTAGCAAGGGGGGTGCTTACAATTTATGATGTGCACTAACCTTGGTTGGGAGGGCATCTGGGGGGAGGGAGGGGGGGTTGACAGACAGGCCATAGAATGTCTTTCATCCTGCTGAAGTCCTCCACTTATGATAATATAGTTAATCATGTCTACTAACTTCCCTAGCACAGAAGTTAGTGGACATCTTTCACCACTTTGGTTAAGGATGGAGCTGGTAGAGGAATAATATTGCCACTACAGACTAGAAGGTCTACTGGCATATTTTCATGGCACTAAAGTCCTGGATTAATAATAGTTTAGTTGACCATGTCCACTAACTTCTGTGCACAGAAGTTAGTAGACATATTTTATAACTTTGGTTGAGGAAGCAGCTGAAAATGCACAAGTGTGAGATGTCAGGCTATGGAGGGTCTACTTGGAGTACTTTTATCCTGCAGAAGTCCCAAATTCATCATAATATAGGTGAGCATGTCTACTAACTTCTGTGCCTGTGAAGTTAGTAGACATCTTCAGCCACTTTGGTTGAGAAAGCAGCTAGTGGAGGGATATATGACATGACAGGTTCATTGGCGCTTTTTTATGCTACTGAAGTCCCAAATTGATGATAGTTTAGTTGACTATGTCCACTAGCTTCCCTACACAGAAGTTAGTAGACATCTTCCACTACTTTAATTGAGAAAGCAGCAGCTGGAGAGGCATGTGACATGACAAGTTATGGAAGGTCTACTGGCATATTTCTTATACCATTGAAGTCCACATAATAATATAGGTAAGCACGTCTACCAATTTCTGTGTCATGGAAGTTAGTAGACATCTTTCACCACTGGCTGAAAAAGCAGACAGGGAGGAGACATGTGTCGTGCAAGGCTATAGGAGGTCTTCTGGAATGCCTTTTATCCTGCTGAAGTCCTGCATTTGTGATAGTGTAGTTGACCATGTCCACTAACTTCTCTGGCACGGAAGTTAGTAGACAGGAAGTTAGTAGATATCTTCCAACCCTTTAGTTGATAAAGCAGCTGGGCTGAGGGGAGGACATGTGTCATGTCTGGCAATAGAAAGCTTACTTGGATCTCTTCTATGCTATAAATTTATAATAGTTACATTGTTGGAAGTTAGTGGACACCTTCAGTTTGCAAGGCCCCCCCCTTGCGATCCAGGATGTCTACTAACTCCCCTGGAGTAGAGATTAGTAGATGTCTTCCCCTGGGTTGGTTGACAAGGTAGCTAGGAGGATATGCAGGCTATAGGAAGTCTACTCGTATGTCTTTTATACAGCTAAGGCCCTTTGAACTAATGCAATGTCCACTGCACAAAAGTTAGTAGACATCACTTTCTGGCCAGAGCATACTAATGTATGTTTCAATGTCATAGAGAGTCTACTAGGTACCTTCCACATTTTTCAAGGGATTCATTGAAGATAATATACATGCCATATCCATAAATGCATGGAAGTTAGTGGTCCTAATCCACTACTCTAGTCAAGGAGAATCTGGGGCAGGAATATGTGACATGGTAGGCTATGGAATATCTACTAGCATGTTTTGCATGCATGCTATAGCTGGCAATAACTAGGGCAGTAAACTTACTCCAGGGCCTTGCAGAATGCATAGTTCCTACTGCTATACGTTCATTACCAATTATCTGACCAAGTTGAATAACTTAGGAGACCATTTTATTAGCTACTTAATAGTCCAAATGCATGTCACAGGTCTTTAACAATCATATATACCTAATACCCTGAAGTTAGTAGACAACAATTAAACACATTGTAACTCAGGAACCGCTGAATCAATCCAAATGAATGAAGTATGTAATGAAATATCTCATCTAGCAATGTATTTATAGATGTTCTCCTGAGACTCCTTGGGGATATATGTAGCCAAATACTTAGAGATCATATATAACTATCCTATAACTTTGGGAGTATTTCATTAATCATAATAAATGACTCATGAGGGGAGCCTACTATTCAGTACTATGGTTTGATATTTATCTCCTTGACTTATCAGCTTGCATAAGTGGTTAAATATTAAGAGACTATCAATCAATATGTTATAAGGGAAGAAGGATTGGGTTTGCAAGCATAAATGAAGTCTAGGCAGAACTACTCTGTGAATGGCTTCAATTGTACCCGTTGTCTTTGACATCTCTCTTGTTCTAAGGTCTTGAAATATAGAAAATATTGCTGCTCTGCCATTAAAGAGCTATCTCTAAGCTTGCCTATAGTCTAAATGAACTGATTACATGCTGTAGGACTTCATTCTATGTATTCCTGCAAGTTTACAACAAGTTTCCATGGATGGGATGTGAGTAAACAGTCCATCAGTAGTTTGTGGGTCCCATCACAGGTAAATGATACTAATGGATCTCAGTGTAAGGTCCATGGATATGCCTCCTGAAGCAATCATCCTGAAGATATGACACTGTATATGATACTGGACCATCAATACCCTTCACCCCTTTAACCTTCCCTATGATATTTTCATCTTTCCTAGTGCTGACAGACAGATTCTGATGGCAAATTTATTTTGAGCTCAATTCTTGGCAGATCTTGATGGGTGTGGGGTCTATGGACTCAGGACAACTCTCTTAATGATTCCAATCTATGTCTGATTTCTCAATTATATAGAGTGCAAGGCAAATACCTGTGCAACAGGGGCTACCATATCTGCTGTTCCTGATATGCTGGGACAGAAATCTCTAAAGTTTCTGGGAGCTGTATACTCCCTGACACCGGATCTATAGGTATTTCCATACAATATAAAGTGTTGATAGCTTGGTGCATCCATCATATTTGGGTTAGATAACATAGATTATGATATTGTGAAAGATCCATGACAGTTGGAAGGCTGACCTGAGCGCCAAATATGTTCATTCCCAGTATATCTAACGGTCTGCAATAAAGTTTTAGTCAATATCTTAAATTTTTGACATGTCATTTTTGCAATTGAGACCAGGCACAATTGCACTTAAGGACCAACCTGCCTTCGACCTCATATTCAGACACATTTCAGAACAACAACTATTTATTGTTTGGGATCCTAGTAGGTGCTCAGAAACACTTCTCTCATCTAATTTACTTCAGATACATTGCCTTGAAACCTGATTTTATGGTATATGTCTACTAACTTCTGCCTGACACGGTCAGATCTTGACATATACATCTATTATGGCATGCATGTCTGGATTTCCTGGAAGCTGTACACTCCCTGACACCAGATCTATAGGTATTTTCATCCAATATGGAGTGTTAATAGCTTGGTGCATCCATCATGTTTGGGATAGATAACATAGATCATGATATTGTGAAAGATCCATAATAGTTGAGAGGCTGACCTGAGCGCCAAATATGTTCATTTCCAGTATATCTAACGGTCTGCAATAAAGTTTTGGTCAATATCTTAAATTTTTGACATGTCATTTTTGCAATTGAGACTAGGCACAATTGCACTCAAGGACCAACCTGCCTTCAACCTCATATTCAGACACATTTCAGAACAACAACTATTCATTGTTTGGGATCCTAGTAGGTGCTCAGAAACACTTCTCTCAGATAATTTACTTTAGATGCATTGCCTTGAAACCTAATTTTATGGTATATGTCTATTAACTTCTGCCAGAAATTAGCATGTATATCTATCGTCCTCTTGATGTGGGCCTATAAATCACAGGAAATGTCCTTCCTATGTTCCTACATGCATATACAGCACTTAAATGCTCGGTCTATATAGTAGAATGGGTCTGATAAATTAGAGTCTACTAACTTTTAGGTAAGAAGTTAATAGACATATTTGCTATTTGTGCATATTATGGAGCCTATCTTACATATATAACATGCTGGCTTAAGACATTTATGCATATAGATATAGCCTGAATGACAACTGAGGGCTGAATTTCTACTATCTCAGTCATTATCTTCTCCAACTCATCCTCTCTACTAACTGCCATTCTGGCACAATATTGAGTCCTTTTAGTTGAGTAGTGCTCTAAATAGTACAAAAATATGCTCCCTTCTAATACTCACCTAAATCTTATATGTATCTCATCTCTAGGAGCCCAGTCAGACCTACACTAACAGAGTAGATGGTACAAGTATTGAGTGCTAAATGATCAATTACAGCCAACATGAGTGCCTAATTTTTTAGGACACATACTATTTACCACCCTCAAGCTGCAGATAGCTTGAGGTAATGCTAGCTAGCACAGAAGATCAGAGAGAGATATTATAGTTTGAAGATGTCTACTAACTTCCCTGACATGAAAGTTAGTGATATCTTTGATTGACCTCTTGAAAAATATGCAAGGTGCCTGGTGGACTTTGTATGATATGGGATGACACATATATTCTGTCAGAGTCAGCTAGACTGCTTTTCTAATTAGAGTAGTGAAGGATGTCTACTAACTTCTGTGTAGAGAAGTTAGTAGACATGGTTAACTAAATTATGTTAATCTAGGACTTTAGTAATATAGAAAACATGCCAGTCGACCTTCTATAGCCTGTTACGCCATATGACTCTTTACCTACTACTTTTTTAACCAGTGTGAAAGATGTCTACTAACTTCCGTGCAGGGAAGTTAGTAGACATGGTTATCTAAATTACATTAATCTAGGATGTTAGTAATATGGAAAACGTGTCAGTTGACATTCTAGAGCCCATTACACCATATGACTCTTCACCTACCACTTTTTTAACCAGTGTGAAAAATGTCTACTAACTTCTTTGCAGGGAAGTTAGTAGACATGTTAACTAAATTACATTAATCTACATATACTTCAGTAACTTATATGAAAGGTAAGTTCTGTTTGACAAACTTTATAAAGGGCCCATTCCAGGGGATTCATTGCTGGATTTGGGATTGTAGAATAGTACCAACTCAGGAACATTTGATCAGGGTACTGCTGTGAGTTGGGAGTTGGTCTGATGTGAAAACCAACTAGAAAAGTCTAGAAAGTAGGTTTCTAAAAACACTGTGAGTTTTTAATTCCTAAGGGGATAGTGTGTTTGTAAACAGCTATCACAATTGTATCATACCATCCACACTAGTTATGATATAGTGATTTTTTTAAAAAAATAATATATATAATCCCAACAAAATTCAACCTTAATTTTTGGTATATGGTTCAGTACCAATAAGTATCATGCAATACTCTAGAATGATAGTAGCTGATCCAAACCCTCCACTAGATTGTGCTTAGAGGAGGCTTCTCAGTCACATGTCTGCAGTGAATTGCCTTCAAGTTTTTTTTTTTTGGAAAATTTGACCATATCACAATAGTGATAGTATGTTGAGAGTATGTATTGATTCAGGCTGAACATACTCTTACTCTAGTTGTTGATAGTCTAATATGTAAGTTTCTTCAACTGACAGTATTATTGTCAAGAGTCAAGACTCAACACTGGCAGGCAACAATTAGCCTTATGACTGAAGACCATTCACAGTATATAAATACTATGAGGACAAGAATAAAAGTAGTACTAGTAAGTATACAAGCTGGTTTTTTACCAAGCTTATAAGTTTGGGGCTGACATATAAGTTGCTAGAATAATATATTATGCTGGAGCGGCATCATAATAATATAATAATATCTATTGTAATAATATAATATTTGTTCTGGCCCCCAGGCATAATATAATCATGATAATAACAATAATATGGCATAATAATAAATCGTAATATAATAATGGCCAGCACTAATCCGCACCACCAAATATGGTAATTTTCTGTATGATACTCAGTTGCTGATATACAAAATACTTACTATTGCTATCAAGGGGTAATAGCTAGGAAGGATGAATACCAGACTGAGGCAGTAGTGTTGAATACTAGTAATCATTTAGACATGGAGAACCTGTGGCCATCTGCCAGTATTTCCATCTAAATCATGGACTCTTTACCTGAGACAAAGAGTCACGACATTGTGTGCCGAAGGCTGACGCAGCCTACAGGGCCACTGGGGATGCTCGCTACTTGGTCAACACTGGCAGCTAAGGTTTCCGCCGCCGCTTATCCGCGTATCCTTCCGTGCGCTCGCACACATGAGAGAAGACTCCGCTCCGCGTCTGGGAGCTGCTCCACTGAGGCCAGGCTGGAGCAACCAGCCATGCATGGAAATTCTTCCAAGGGAACAAGCCGAGGCTTCGCCGCATCGACGATGACGTCGACACGCAGTAATCTGCCCGCCGGGGCGGGCGATGTCTTCTCTAAGTTCTCGGAGATTAGATGTCGTAAGATAACGCGATGTCGCCATCCGCCTCCGGTCTGGACATGGAAATGGGCAACTCATCTGGGTGCCGCTTGAACTGCTGGGTATCAAAAACTATACTGTACACAAATATACTAATACATCCGTATGCTACTTCTTTCGTCCTATTTCACCTGGTTTACTGTTGTACAGTAGAGTTCATCGATTGGGTGGTCATTATCGTTGCAAGTTTCGGGTTGTCGTCGTCGAATTCGTTGGGAAAGTGTTCAGCACCACCACCCGCTGCTGGCCTCCACCGGCTTGCGCGCATTCGACTTGCGCACGCTGGGCAACCTCTTCACCACCTCGCCCACCAGCCTCTCCATTTGCGGGGGCAGCGCTGCAGATGGCCGGCCACTGTCATAGTCCCAAATAGCCAGTTCCTCCAGATGCCAGTCGCGCGCGACTTGCTCGAGCTGGGGGCCCATAATCCAGTCCATGCGATACGAGGGGGAGTACACGACGACATTGAGCGTGTGTAGATCAGGGAGGTAGCGGACAAGCAGCGAAAAGACACGCGGGGTTAGCGTAAACACGCCGATGCGCAGTTTAGTGCGGGCAGTCGTGCGAGGGAGTGCCGAGAGGGTCTTGAGAACGGTTTCGAGTTGGGGCTCCCAGAGGTTGTCAGACTCTGTGAACGGGCGGCGGAAGAGCGCGTCCAGCGTTGAAGAAGAATCGGATTCCAAGTCAGCATCGCCACGGGCAATCTCGAATACATGCGACTCGTAGCCCAAAATGAGCGAGTCGAGCTTGTCCACGAGTGGCTGGCGCTGAGCAAGCGCGCGCCAGATGGAAAGTGCTGTTGTCTGGCAGGATGCACAGACCTCCACGCGGGAGAGCGAGGCCGTGTGGGCATCCAGAATGGTCATCAGGGCGGCCGCATCGAGGTAGCCACACGTAAGCTGTACGGCAAGCTTCTCGAGGTGGGCGAAAGGGGGCAGATCTTCAAATATGGGGCTAATGTCGACCTTGGAGATGGCCGAGATGGAAAGCGCGCGGAGAGAGTGGCTGAAGCGCGCAATAAACGGCAGGATTGTCGTTCTGATAGTGTTCGCGCTAGCTCCAGATGGCGAGGGATCGTCAGTGAAGTCGTACTCGAAAGTGATCTCGAGTTGTTCCAAATCGGTGACCAGCTCTATACCAGCGAGCATCGCGGGGAAGTCGCGAAGGCGGGCAGAGAGGGAGATTTTGCGGAATCGGGAGCCAAAGGAAGTGTGGGCAGCGGAGAGGAAGCGGGTGGTCTCGGGAGTAAGGGAGAGCGCGCTCAATTCAAAGCTGCATTGCTCAACGTTTGTCATGAGGTCCACCGCTTGCGTCATGCCGGCGAGGGTGTGGGAGGCCTTGGGAGTCGGGAGCACTCGGGAGCACAAGAAAGCGGGGAGAAGCCATTGCCAGCGACTGGTCTTTGCGCCTCCCAATGTGTTGTCCGGATCTTGCGCGAGGCTTTCAAGGAAACTAGCGCCAACGTCGAGCTGCCGAACCCGGCCAGCAATACGCGGTGTTCTGTAGTGAGTTAGCGGTGGCGCTGTGCATGAAAAAGACGTACCTGAGCCACTGTAGTCTTTCGAGTGTCCAATCATCGCGATTCTCCAATCGTACGACGCGATATCGTTCGTCCAGCGCAACACTAAGGAAGGCCCGGTTAAGGGAGGCGAGGGGAAGAAGGTCTTGTGGCGACAGGAGGGCGGCGATGCAGCGCCAGACGTCGTCGGGAAGCGTTACGGTCGCGAGGGTCATGGTGGTAGCTGTAAAGTCGTTGGGAGGTGGTTTAGGGGGAGTGGGATGGAACCTGTTGCTTTAAAAAGCCGCTTGCCCCACATAACTCCTTTTCGGGAACAGGAGCTAGCCAAGTCGTGTGACGGCCGCATTTGCAATCATCCGGTGCCCATTTGCTGCCTGCCTTCCATCAACGCTGCTTCCTTGGCCAGCCACTAATGCGGCGTTTGCCTGCCAGCCACCACGATAAGCTCGCGAAGCAGCGGTTTGCTGGCGGATGGACGGAGAGAAGTGGGAGAAGCAAAGAAGGGCCTAGCTCACGTGTCCTCGGGACCCGGCCTACGTCACAGCCCACGTAATTTGCTCTGCGTCAGGCATCGGCGAAGGCCCGGGCATGGAGTCTGGCGGGCTCATGCCTGCTCATGCTTGACCTCATCGCTTGCTTGGGCAGCAGCGACGCTTGCTCGGAAACAAGGATGCGAGGATGCGAGGACTTGGACTGGGCTCAGTCAGCGCAAGCCCATTTCGCGACCCTGGCTTTCCGATTTCGTGGAGCCTAGAACTGTTCTTGGCGTACACATAGCCGCGGCTCGGCGGGTGGATTTTTTTTTCACTGATCGTAGGAACAATTGTTGCCTCCGTCGGCTCGACTGAAAGGAGACGGAACTTTTTCACGAGAATCATACTCAGGACTATTTTCGTGCTCGGATCCTTCTCTTGTTGGCAACTCGCGCCGTTAGCACCCCGGGACTTACCCGCCCCAACTTCGCACTCTTCACTACCCCAGGTTACAACGCAGGAATTCAATCTGCCTAGGACTCTACGGCGCCGGCCGGGTCTCGCTTCTTGCGGCCACCGCTCGCGAAGAGAAAGAGAGAACAAAAAAACCGCCTAAATTTTCTTGAATGCTTTTTACCGATCGGCCGACCGGCTACCGCTTCAATCAATTTCCAGCTCCCACTTCACTCACCGGGAGCGGGATGTCCGCAATTTTCGTGGAGTGCGTGGAGTGCGTTTTAAATTTTGTGTTGTTGGTTTTGTGTCGGGCCTGTGCACCGTCAGGCACTAGCGCTGTCCCTCCCGACGTCGCGAGCAACAATAAAATATGGAAATATGCGCTAAAACTTGGCGACGTCAACCACGGTCGCCGCGGCCATTGGACGCTGTCTATGCCCCGGGCCGGTGGGTGGATCGATCATGATAGCGATATCGATATCGATTCGATAATCGCTCCCAGATCCACACGGCGAATGCCAACTCGAGCCACATACATAGGCTATAACGCGGCCGCGGGTACCCCGCGCTGGGGAAATGCATTCGGTTACAAGTATACATTTGCGATCTATTCAATCGCACGACGGGAGGTCTCAGGCTGTAACCACGTATTTATGGATGATCTGCCAGCGAATCGGCCCGTGGTCTGTCAATCAAGGGCTGGTGTCCACCGCACGGCAACTTCAAACAAGTCCAGACTCCAAAGCCCAACTTGAAGGCATGAATGAATTCATGAACGCGAGGATTCTCATTGGAAGTCGACTCCAACATCTGGCTACGACGGCGACGACACGACCTATTACAAGCTCTTCTATGCCCAGGAAGATGTGTGCAACTGGTCCCGCCGGCTCGCTGCAGTTTGATTCCAAATGGGACCTTGTTGATGCCGGGCCAACTTGAACTTCAGTTGAATATTGATCGCAATTAAGCGGCTGGATCCGGTTGAAAGCCACAAACATTACTTATTCGACTGGATGAATGCAGCAGACTACTAGTACCCCACACCTGGGGATCCGACAAGCGCCAAAGACACGAGGACTTGGATACTCAGGCTTCGAATTGTTTTAAATTGTTATCTCCAAGTTATCTCCAGCTCTCAGCGTTATCATCCGGATGCTGCATGTGCTACCCAGTCCGAGTCACTCACACATTCCCGTGTCATTGCGAATAGGTTCAAGCCGTCTACAGTGAGACAACTGGGGTAGAAGAAGCAAACGTCGCGCCCATTGCCAGTGCACAAACTTGTGCAGCGGCCCTCGGGAGCGTGAGACGCGTGGGACCGGGTGTCGGGAGCGTGCGACTCTAAGCCGAACTAGAAGTAGTAGTAGTACTAAGCTTGGGACAGGCGGCGCTGCATACAACGTAGTGGGGTTAGGCAGAGCTAATGGAAGCTCGCGCCACAGGAGTCATCGGGAGCGAGGCCCAGGCACTCGACTACTCGTGGTGGAGGTGCTGCTGATTATCGCGGGAGCAAGAACTCCAATCATTTTCGTTTGAGATCATATGACCATAAGTAATCATTTAAATACTTAATCATTTTTTGGTTCACTGGTAATTAACAAGGGGGTTCAAGTCTTGAATCATGGATATAGGGTCGGAAAGTTTTTTTTCCGACCCCTGGGGGACCCCCCCCCCTCCCCCCCTCCTGCCATATCGGGTAATATGTTCCCACAATTTACATCATGTGACCACTGATGCGATCAAAAAGTGGGATAAAAAATTCAATCTTTGTGAAACTTTTTTTTGCAAAATTTTTATATATGTGTATGTGTATTTGTGTATGTATGTATGTACCTGGAACCTTCAAACAGACATAGCAGGCCATATCAACTCTTCAACATGTTCACCTCTCATCAATTACCTGTCCATGGACCTATAACAGAGTGGGCTATCCAAGCATATGGGCCTGAAAGTATATAGATATAAGTATGAGGGTTGTGAACTATAGAAATTGAAGTATATACACTATATTTTCAGTGTCTTTACACCCATATAAGGCCCAAATCTTTCATAAAGTTTTTTTACCCCCCTGGGACCCCCCCCCTCCCCCCTACCCCATGTGCCTGATAAGGATCTTGAACCCCCCTTGGCTGTGAATGACAGCCATTCCCAAAATCCGCAAAATGTTTTCAGAGTATATATTTTCCGCAACTTTTTATTCTGCAACATTAATCAATCTGCAACATTATCTATACGTCAGAGACTCGGAGGTTGAGCCAGTGCAGGGTAGAATGGGGATGGCTTGAAAAAAAAGCAGGTGGGTTAGGTGTGCGTAGAGCCATCACGGCTACTTGGAGCAACACCGTAGCCAATAAGCTAGGCGTGTGAGGTTGGCTGAGTTGACTCAAAGCCAGAGTGTATACGAAATCAGTGGGACTGGGACTGGGCCAATCCCACTGATCCTGCCCAGTCCCACTGATTCATGTCCCATCAGTAGGATTCGTGCAGTCAAATGTGACACATGCACAAGTCCCACTGATCAACGGGATCATCGCAGGTCTACCGGTTGCGGCGCCGGCTGGGGTTTTCCACCCCGGACCGCAACCAGGGCCTTGCCCTGGACCCGCCCTGCCGGGGGCTTCGCTCGCCGCGGGGAGCATGATCCCCCCTTCTTCCCCTTTTCCACCATTCCTGGGTTCAAACATCTGGTTCCACACTGGGTTGCGGCGCTGGCCGGGGCTTTCCACCCCGGTGATAAGCCGCAGTCTGGGACAGACCAGGAAACAACTATTTTTGTCAATTTTGTTGCTCAGCGCACGTCTCAGAGTTGACATGAGTCCCGAATGGTCAGCTAGGGAGTTATCTGCCAAAGAACCAGTCAAAATCTATCAGATCGCTCTAAGTGATTCTGAAATCTCAACTACGAAAAGTTCACAGGGCCCGTTTCTTGCTAAGATCTATCCAATCCTATGCAAAATACCCGAAGGGAATGTAAACTAAAAGGCATATTCGGTTTGGCGTGCACTGGAGACTCGATATCGACTTCTCCTAGATAAGGGACACCCCTATCTCTGTTGGTATTGACGACTGACATCATTGGAACATGGTTTCGGATCATGCTGGAGGATCGAGAGTGCCAAGGGATGGCTAAACGGGAGAAACCAACTCAATTGATTGGGGCCTGGACCTGCGATCAATGGTGACTCTAAAACACTGACGAGGAACTGGACATCTGAATACTGGATTTGCACCAGGAGAGTTGGGACAAACATCGCTGAGGCCATACATGCAAGATACGAGTTATGTGTGTCATTCAAGAGCTGGACAGCCGAGCTATCAACTTATCCTACTCAAGATTGAGGGATTCTTCACAAGCAAAACTAGATAGTCGTGAACATGGAAGATTTACACAGGTCATTGACACCAATACACACGATACCAGTCATCTGGACCTGGATCTTCGACTCTGGGCCGTATGGCGAAACGATACCAATACAATTATGTGCATGGACTACTTTTCTTACTCATGATCTACCTCATTTTATCATTTTTGTTTTTCGTATTTATATCACTATCTTGTATTTGGGAGATTCACGGATTGCCCCGCTCTACTAGGTGCATCTGGGGATCTAGCTCGTCAATTTATCTTGCTAGCTCTTTCGAAATAGTATCATCGCATCGAAGGATCATTGGTTGAGGATTTCGGTTGCTGAATAAAAGAGAGTTCTGGTTGCTGTTTATTGAGTTTTGGTTGCTGGTCGAGAGTTTAAGGCAGTTAGTCCTGATCCAACGAGTATAAACTCTCCGGGCATCATATTGGCGCTTCTCTATTGCGGAGTTTCATCGATAGTACGCTTTGGGGCACACAAAATCAACGTTTTTCGCAAGAAACTTATATCTACCCTACAACCTTGCACATCTGTGCCAAGGCTCTGTTCACAGGGGCCTGTTCTCGCACAAGGAGTTGACGATTTTTGGGTTTTGTGACTTTTCCTACTCAACATTATACATCTTTCTCTCTACAAAAAGTGGAGTTTGGTTGTTTTTGTTGGTTAGGTTGGTTAGAGAGCTCATTTGCTGTCTGCACTCCGCACTCATTTGCTGTCTGCACTCCGCACTCATTGTAGGCAGTTTGCGTATGTCCGAGGTCCAGACTGGCACCGAATCGGGACTGGCCGCGCATGGCAGCGGGAACTGGGAAGCACAGGGTAGATAGGTATTGGAGATAATGTTGCAGATTGATCAATGTTGTAAAAAAAAACTTGAAGTTGCGGAAATTATGTACTCTCAAAATATTTCACGGCTTT